CAAAAGTAAGCACTTCAGTGACTTTGACAATTTTGATGGCTAGATGACATGATCAGAGCAAATCCAAAAACGCAGCTCTTAGAGGATGTTCACGGTGTTCAGGATCTACCAAAAGTGGTCATTGGTAGGAAAACCAGTGTACTGCTGGCCCATGTACTCTGATCCAATAGAAGAACTACTGTACCTTGAATTGCTGAAAAATCGAGTGTTCCAATAGAAAAGTTTCTGAACACACAGTCCATCATAGTTTGCATATGGGGCTGCGTAGCCGCAGATCGGTCAGGGTGCCTATACTGACCCGTGTCTACTGCCAAAAGCACTTACAATGGGCATGTGATCATCAGAAGTAGACCACAGAGCAATGGAAGCTGGCCTGGTCTTATGAATCATGTTTTCCTTTGCATCATGTGGATGGCCGGTTGTGTGTTGTTTATCTGGGGAAGAGATGGTACCAGAATGCTCTATGGAAAGAAGGCAAGCCGGCAGAAGCAGTGTGATGATTTGGGCAATGTTCTGCTGTGAAGCCATGGGTCCTGCCATTCATGTGGATGTTAATTGGACATGTACCGCCTACCTAAAAATTATTGCTGACCAAGTATACCCCTTCATGGAAACAGTATTCCCTGATGGCAGTGGCCTCTTTCAGCAGGATAATGCACCTTGACACACTGCAAACATAGTTCCAACAACGGTTTGAGAAACACAACACGTTTAAGATGTTGACTTGGCCTCCAAATACTCCAGATATCAATCGAATTGAGCATCCATGGGATGTGCTGGAAAAACAAGTCTGATCCATGGAGGCCCCACCTCACAACTTACAGGACTTAAAGGATCTGCTACTGACAGCTTACTGCCATATACTGCTGCATACCTTCTGGGGTCTAGTGGAGTCCATGCCTTGACGGGTCATGGCTGTTATGGTGGCACAAGTGGGACCTACTCAATATTAGATGGGTGGTCATAATGTTGCGTGCGCATGCATGTATTAGGGATGTTCAGATACCAAGAACTGACTAACCTAGAGAAAAAAAAGTTAAGAGGCAGCTGTCATTTTTAAGAAGCATTGGCTACGGGGTTACCATTTTTTCAGACCAAGTACTGATACTTGTCCAAGTACTCACAGATACAATTACTGATTGTTGTTTAGTGTCATGATTTCAGGACAGTGGTGGAGTGCCAGGGCCCCATCACAGCTGCAACTGCTGAGACCCTGGTAGTTCTCATGAAACTGCCAAGTATCAGGACTGGTTGTATGTGTATGTATGTATGTATGTATGTATGGCACTGTATAGTGTGTTAAAACCACTGCCTTGTTCTACTGTAACAGTTTCTTAGAACCTGATGCTGTTAAAAGGGCCTGTTCACATGATTTTCAGGTCCAGATCAGGTGCGGAACTGCAGACGCGGTGCTATGTGTTTGGCCGCGTTTTTGATGCGTTCCAGTAGAAATTTTTTTTTCTTTTTTGCTGGAGTGGGGCTGTCAGTATGTTAGCTGCAGTGCAGTGCGTTTGTGACGCGTTTTGCGTTTCTGGACCGTTTTCTGACCGTACAAAATGTGACCTGCAGGATTTTTTCTTTCGTAACCTGAACGGACTGCGCACGTGAGAACTGGAGCCCATAAAACACATAGGGATACATTGGGATGCATTTTTAGTGCAGGAGCGTACGGAGCCGGTCAGCACAGTAAACAGACGTTGTGTGAACAGGCCCTCACGCATTACACTGGATGCCACCTTTAGTTTATGGGTAAACAGAGAAAGGAAATGCATTGATGGAGTTGATGTAAACCGGTCACAACCCTGGTCACTTTGAATACATTACATGATGGAACAAATGCATAAGCAAGTCCTTTTTATTGAAAATGACGTGCAAATGATTGGTAAGCTTGAGCTTGATACCACCCATTCTACTACTTAATCCTTTGTAGAAGCAGGGACCAAGCTTGGATTTTGTAGGAAAAGTCTAGAATAGACTAGCATCACTATTAGGCCTGGTTCACACCTGTGCGTATTGCATAAGCGCGTCACACGCGCGTTTTCTTCCCGGAGTTTGGTGCGTTTTCATGTGCGTTTTTAGTGCGTTTTTTTACATTAGAAACGCGTGTTGCACGCACGTTTTGAAGCGTTTTGGAGCTATAGGTATGAAATTATAGGTATGAAATTAATTATTAATGTGTACTAATTTATGAATATAAATCAGTACATATCAATCACCAATTACATATAAACACTGTCAGCTGGCGATTTGCTCATGCAGCGAGCTGTGATCGACAATCTGGGAGCTACACCGGTTTGTGGAACTACAAATAAGAGATCATAAATTGAATACAATTTGTGTTAAACCTCATAAAAAACCACACAAACTCATTGTTAAATTAGCTTAAAATTTTATATAAAAATAAACAGGCCATCTCAACATTCTCCTGCTCAACCGGATAGGAGAAGAAACTTAACACGGTGCCTTTACACAGACTTTTGAAGGCCAAATTTAGAGATTTTGATAGTTTGGGAGCGCAAAATTAGGCTCATCCACCTGCATGTCCTCCCTCATTCCACGTGTGGAATAGCCAGCCGGTTGTTGTGTGTGTTGTGACAGGCTGGTGGAGGGATAAATATAGGGGGAATGTGGGCGTGGGTGCCATGTTTCCTGGTGTTGCTGCATGGGTGTGTGTGTGTATGTATCAGAGGCATGTGTGTGCATGCGATGGACATGCTGAGGTGGTTGTCGAATGGGAGGGGCAGGTATGGGTGCAGTGTCATGCGGTTGTAAGTCTTCGGGGAGAATTAGGGAATCGACAAATCGGATTAGTCGTTCCCGTGCTGCCGACTGTCTGTGTAAAGGCACCATGTTTAGTTTCTCCTCCAAGCTGAGCAGGAAATGACCTGCGCTGGAAAGCCTGGGGAGAGGATTTGTAACGCTGTCCAGGACCTCCAGCAGCCTGCTCTCCTCCCTGGCAAAACGTGGCCGCCGTGTCCTGACAACGCTACGCCGGCGTAGCGTGCCCCTCGTTCTGGTGGCCGAGGTGCCTGGTGTCGGCGGTGCTGTTGTTGGAGGTGGGGCTGGTGGTGTTGCTGGTGGTGGGCTCAGTGGTCCTGGGGAGAACGCCAGCACTGTTGGTGATGTGGCAGATTCGACCTCCTCCTCTTCAGGCCTCTCACCAGGCTCCCAGCTACTGTCGGTGCTGTAAAGAGTAATAAACAAGACATAAGTATATATGTCCTATATATATTATTCTATGCATGTTACATGAGACTACTAATTGAAATGTACGTGACTTGCCTCCGCATTTCAATACACGGGATTAGGAAGGAGAGCTGGTCCGCGTATATGTATTTGTACGGGGCACTGGCAGCCGCGCCACTGCGGTATTCCCGCTCCTTCCGGCGTTGACGTGTAAATGCGTCTTTAATGCTGCGCCATTTTTTTTTCATAATATCAACTGTGGAAACAAAATGTAAACATGAACTAATTAAATTCGTGCTTTTATCTTTCATTTTTTAGGTATTTAGCGACTGGCCAGTCATTAGCCACGATTCATTATTCGTTTAGGATTGGCAAATCAACTGCAAGCAAAATAATCAAGGAAACATTAGAAACATTAGAAAAATTTAACTTTTTCCCTTGATCTGATACCAATAAAATATATTTGATTTGAAAACAGACTTGAGTATTTTGTTTATAACAATAAGTGCACGCATGTTACATTAAAATATCTGCACGCATGAGACATTAAAATAGCTGCACGCATGAGACATTAAAATAGCTGCACGCATGGGACATTACAATAGCTGCGAGCATGTCACATTAAAATAGCTGCACGCATGAGACATTAAAATAGCTGCACGCATGGGACATAAATAGCTGCACGCATGGGACATTACAATAGCTGCACGCATGTCACATTAAAATAGCTGCACGCATGAGACATTAAAATAGCTGCACGCATGGGACATAAATAGCTGCACGCATGGGACATTACAATAGCTGCACGCATGTCACATTAAAATAGCTGCACGCATGAGACATTAAAATAGCTGCACGCATGGGACATAAATAGCTGTACGCATGGGACATTACAATAGCTGCACGCATGTTACATAAAAATAGCTGCACGCATGACAGATTAAAATAGCTGCACGCATGGGACATAAATAGCTGCACGCATGGGACATTACTATAGCTGCACGCATGTCACATTAGCTGCACATAAAAAATACTACTGAAAAAAATGCGCACCTGTCAGTACACACTGCATGCATTCTGCATGAAAACATAGCAGACATGCACGCATGTTTCACGTAAATGATGAACAAAAGTGTATGCAATCAATGAACATATGACGCAAAACAGTGCATAGCGTATGCAAGAAAATATTCAACATTTGCTAATGTACCTTTGGATTCTTTAACTTGCTTTGGGAAGGTTTCCCAGTCCGGCCACGAAGCTTCGGCTATCTCCACCCAGGCACGTTGCCTTATGCGCCTGTTTTTGTAATGCGCATGGCGCATGTCATAAATACATGGCCTTCCCTCCACCTGTCTTATGAAGGCCTCAGAATCAAGCATGGCATCCTCCATCTTCTTCTTCAACAACAGCTCTGTGGGGGAGTGGTCTTCTGTGGACATGTGTGGAACTATGCGCGATTTCAGTGATTTCGTCCGTTCCCGTCGAAGTCTATGGGCACTAACGCGCTACAAAACGGACCAATATGCAGCAAAAACGCTTCGGGACCTTTTCAAGCGTGGCCCGTTTTGTAGTGCGTTCGGGACGGACGGAAATACGGACAGGTGGGAACTATACCATTCACTTCAATGATTTTTACATTTTGGTCCGTTTTGTAGTGCGTTCATCGAGCGTAGGACGCACTACAAAACGGTCAGGTGTGAACCAGCACTTAGATTGAAATGTTTGGTTAATTTAGGATTTAATGATTAATATTATCAGGCAATGTAGACAATTAACTCATGCCATTTTTCTTTTCTTGCTGTTATCTGTAGGATTCCCTGGCAACATCAATCCTGTAACTAAAGAGAAAGGTGGGCCCAGAGGACCAGAGCCTACTCGCTATGGAGACTGGGAGAGAAAGGGTCGATGCATTGACTTTTAAGAATCCAAAGAGTTTAAGCAATGTTTAGCCATTCACAGAGTGTAGTCTGTGCATTCTGAGCCATCTTCTACATTGCTGCATACATCACAGATCAGATAAGGGTAACCTGTTACACTGAAGACACAATTATTAAACTACATAAAAATGTCTTTAGTAAGATGGTATTTGTCAAATATTTTTTAATTTCCTCTTTTCCCCAGAGAAATGATTCATAATGTTGGAGCTACAATAACATTCTCTGTACAAATGATGCCTTAGATATACTTTTACATGTAAGACATCTCTTACCGGATTCTAAAGCAGAACTGGTGTATAGTAAGCCATAGCAGCCTTCATTAAATTGCTATACACTGAATCTGACCTGACTGCCATGAGTGACGGCACAGTACAATACTGCACTTCGTGGTTTGATACTGCAGAAGGAAGGGAATTGCACTAAAGAACACAAACTTAAGTAATAAACTTGTAAACTGAAAATTAACTTACCTTTTGTCTGTTTTATATTTGGATGCACTGATGCTGAAAAAGGTCCATTAAGGTTTGAGTCTGTAGCAAGAAATGGATCCTGAATAAGGCCCAGTTAGGGCCCATTTTGAATGGCACCTAATGTAATGTACCAATACAGTAGTGGGCTGTGCAGTGTTCTGCAGTGCAATTAAAATGAATGGGCTGCCCGAGCGCAACATGCGTTAATAAATGTTTGTTAATACACAACAACACCGCTAAAGTTTAAGATGTTCCTTAGACATTAACCCCTTCATGACTGAGGCCCTTTTTTAATTTTTTGCACCCATGTTAATAGAATGCTGACCATTTTTTTTCCTAGGGGACACAAATAAAGCAGTTTTAGGCCTGGTTCACACCTGTGTGGCTTCCTGCACAATCGCTGCGCGATCCCGGAATCGTGCGCAAACCACACTTGCGGTGACATTCATTCCTAATGGCACCCCAATCACGGGTCACAATTCGCTCTCTTGGGTGTCGTGGTACAATCGCAGCCGCACAAAAAGGTGCATGAGCCTTTTTGCTCCATGGATATGACCCTGTTAAAATCAACGGGGGCGTGCGGCAACCGCACAAGAACACGCGGTCCCAAGCCGCAAAGATGTGAACCTGGCCTCACTCACTTGATCTCGGTCAGTGCTCACTTCTCCCCCCCCCCCCCCCTCTGCTTCTGATGTTGGAATGTCCCTCGGCGTCCTGGCATCAAATGCAGGTCAATGGACCTGCATAAGATATGATGACATCAGCAGTCCTTAGACTGCCAAAGTGAAAGGGAGAAGAGCCTGCAGGGATTGGTTTAGCAGCCTGGAGAAAGCCAGGGGGACTGAGGATCAGGTAAACAAAACAGCTTTATTGTGTGTTCTAGACAAGACGAGCACCTAACCCTTGCAGTGCAGCCCGACTGCAAGAGTGTTGTTTTTTATTTATTTTTGCTCAGTTCTTGAAGCTGTTTCTGTGAAGTACTAGAAAACATAATGGCTGCTACAAACAATACACCGGTACGCTGAACCATGTTAGTGTAAGTTTCTTGATGATCTTTTCCTTTATTCAGGGCTATCAGCCTAGTTCACACCACTATGTTCAGTTCCAATGCTTTCAAAAGCAGAATGTTCCTAACTGCATGTAAATGCACCGCAAAATGCTTAAAGGATAATTAAAGCCTCCTAGCAAGCAGTAGATATATGCAAAAAAACCCCCGCTTTAACAGAAGTTAATACTTCCCGTCCGAAAATGTGAAGATCCTCGCGCGGCCGCAAAGCACCTTGGGGCGGGCGCATGCGCAGTTCACATTTTCAGCCGGGATACGCGGAGAGACACAAGGTAAGTCTATGGACGTGTGCACCCGCATGCAGACACCGTGGGACAGGAAGTGCCGGCAAGCTCAGAGGAGTCGGTGCTGGATCGGACACCCGCCGCAGCGCTGGAGGGACACATGAAAATTACAGGAAATTGGAAGATCGGATTAAGAAACATCATTTAAGGTAAGTGCTTTAATTAACGTTGGGGGAGGGGGAAAGAACATTGAACACTTTAAACACAAGTGAAATAATGTTTGCATATTATGGAGTAAAAAAAAAAAAAAAATACATCAAAGTGCGTTACATAAGAACCAAACACTGAAGACAGGGATTATGGTGTGAACAAGTCCTCAAGCTCTTCATTCCAGTAGAGTATTCATGAAATAAAGTCTAACTAAAGATTTCTGCCTCATGTAAAGTGTTATTACAATAGATGATCTTTTTATAACTTTTGACAGAGTGCAGAGATTCTTCTCACTTCCTGTCCTGCTGACAACACAGCCATCTGGGAAATCTTTATAATTGCCATACAATAGCAAGAACTGTGCTAACATACTAACCAGGAAAGTCATTTCTGAAGATGTATTTTCTAGTAATCTAAACCCCAGAACAATAACTGAAAATATTGTAGCTTACCTATCCTGACATGTGGTGGCTGCATGCGTTTCCAGGCTAGCTACAATTTCTGCACATAAAGAAAAATACCTCTTGATCACAACTTCACTGATCACGGAACTGCAATCTCAAACAATGTTATCAGCCTTCCCAGTTCTATCTATGGATAGATGGATGGCTATAGAATACCTCACCATAAGTTATGGAGCATGACATAGTCATAGAAGGTGCCCCCCAGGACAAAAAGATTAGTGCTAACAATTTCTGCCCTAGGGTTATAACACTGCTCCTCCATAGATGCAGTAAAATTGATGAGCGTTGCCTTCCCAGGACAGGAATTGTCACTGGCAGGATCACCAGGTGAAAATAAAGGAGAACGAGCATGAGCAAAGACAGCTAATACCCCCACACTAGAAGGGTTAAGTGTTTCCTTTTGGTCTAGGTTCAAAATTAACAGTTATATTCACCCAAAAGCTCTGATCGGGCCAGCTGTCACAGCGTTCCCTCCAGCCTGTCCCCTCCCGTGCTGCAGCATTGGAATGTTCCTCAGTGTCCTCATATCTATACACTATAGAATGTGATGATTTATGGGACCTTGGACTGCTGCTGAGGAAGGGGAAAGGAGCTCCAGGGACTGGTCTAAAAACAAGCAGTTGAGTATAACCTTTATTCCTTTTAACCTAGACAAAAACGTCTTTATTATGAAATAAGTACCAGTTTACGTTTTAGACCACTCTT